TTATCTGAACAAAAATGAGATTTGGTAAGATAGGACAATAGGGGTAGGGAACAGATGTTGTGGGAGCAACCACAGTGTGTGCTACATGGCGTTTCTTAAAATGCCTTCAGACTGTAGAAGACCATCAAACTCTGATAGGACAGCCAAAGTCCCTCAAAACCTGGGGACTTAAGAGTGAGCATTGCTCAAGTTTCTATTAACAAATATGAGCAAATTTCAGTGATAAAGAACATTCTGTCCTTTTCAAAGGAAGCTTTTCCATCTTGTCTCCAGGCTTTGAAATAAGATGTGGCCTCATCTTGTGATGCCCACCGCCTACCCCCTGCCCCCCGCCTCCACCAACACCCTAGATGTTTTTCAGGGCTACTCTGCAAGTTCTTCCCTGATCCCTTGATCATAGATGAGTGCATCTTCCTGTCCACTTACTCACACTTGACACTTGACCTGATGCTGAGATAAACAGACCCAATGGTCGCTTTCACGTCAGCTCTCCTCTCGAGATGTCTCGACTTATGGACTTCAGATTTCCCTAGATTTATCAACTGCAGTATCATTTCTGTCTGTCAGAGTGCCTCAGAGAATGTGTGTCCAGTGAGAATATATTGACTTTTGTCAAATAGATGGTTTTCCCCTAGGTGGAAGGAAGGGTCTAGGGTTTGGCACCTTGAGTGAGCAATGCCACGTAAGCCAGAAGCCATACGAGTCACCGTCTTTCATCCTCTAGTTCTTAATGGACCTTTATTCTGCTCTTACTTTGTGGTTCCATTCCTCGAGCATCTTGTATCCCTGACTGACAGCGCCTTGGTTGACGTGAGACCTGCTTTTGCACTCTCAGTCTGCAAAAAGCACCTTTTTTCTAAGGTGAAAGCTGTGCAAGGGCCTTTCTTCTTTTAGAGCAATGAAAATACTCTCAAGAGTCTTAAGAACAAATGTAGCACATTACTATAGGGGTGAGGCTGATGGAGGTAGAGACTGGTTAGAAGTTAAGAGTGCCGGCACGTAGGAGAGGCTGCTCAGCTTTGGACACGGAGCGTTACTGAGCCACTCCTCTCGCACCTCAGTTCCTGAAGTTCAGTTCTTTTTCTGGCATGAAGCCTAAGAACTCAGATAACTCCACTGCACGTTAGGCTCCTGCCCCGGAACATTCTGAAATCTGACAGGTCTCCTCTGAGTTGCGTCTGCTATGTAAGTTTCTCCTTGCTCACTCTTGAAAGTTGAATGCATTGGGCGGCTCTTTGCCAAACAGATTTCCACTAGTGCATCCGTCAGTTATTTACTCACTAATTCAACAAAAATCTTTGGGACACTCACTACAGACTTATTTATTCAGCATATATTTACACATTTCTCAAGAAACTAAAGCCCTCTACATACCAGAAACAAAGCAGGGAAAAACAATCCAACAAATGGTGGGGAAAATTCTGGCAGATTCTGCCCTCCTGGCACTGCAGACTGATAAGAGAAGCAGAGTGATCAGACAATTGTACTGGTTGAGGTACAACAGCAACAGGATGTGAACCAAAAAGCAGAGGTACTTAGTGTGGACAGGAGGATACTCTGAAGGGTGGGCAAGTCTCTCCTGCAGAAGTGATGACGGGCTAAGGGGGGGAAAAAAAGAGTAATTTTCTAGAAGGAAAGCTCACTTTGATGGGAGTGAGTGTGGTGCATTCCATAAACTTAAGGAAAATCCACGGGGTCACCAGGCATGGTGGTGAATGCCTGTGATCCCAGCAGTTTGAGAGTGGGTAAGTGTCCCTGGGTTCAATCCCCAGTACAAGAAAAAAAAAAAAAGTAAGTAAGAAAGAAAGAAAATCCATGGGGCTGGAGGACTGGGAGACAAGAGGAACCACGATGTCACTGAGGGCTGGAGGCCTGAGCAGGAGCCGTCGTGCGGAGGGGTGTTCCCAGGTCAGAATGCTAAGTTGATGGGAAGCCATTACGTGGTTTAGGCCAGAGCTGACATGTACAGCTCTGAATTTTAGAATGAACACCAATCGCAGTCTTCATAATGTGTTAAAATGAAAGGAAGGGGCACAGGAGCTCAGGGGCTCATTTTAGTAGGAGAGATGCTGGTGGTTTGACAGGGTGCGGGGTGGGGGGTGAAGATGGAGAGAATGGATGAGAGGTTTTGCAGAAATTGATAGCTGAACTTTGTGACTGTAATTTCATGCTAAGAACTGACTGGGGAATGGACAGGCAGCCAGAGAGAGGACAGGACATGGGACTGCCTGGGTGTGGACTGAGTCTTCAGGGTGCGGCTGCTTGATAAAAATCTGGGTATTTAACTAGTGATATTATTGACTTCTACAAGGTAATCATGAAAAATTCTCAAGACATTTTTATAACTCTTCGGTAACCAAAATTGTGTATGATCTTTTATTCCCAGAAACATTTTTGTGTTGTTCTCACTGTTTCTTTGTATGGAAGAAATAATATAATTAAGAACTATCTAAGATGAAAAGAAAATAATGCTCATCTACATTCTCAAACATCCCTGAATCACTTATCAGAGGTAACCATGGTTACCAAGTACTCCTGGATGCCTTGAAGATGTCTCCATGCAACACCCACCCACACACACACACACACACACACACACTCTCACGCTCATACACATACACACATAGGTACATGCATACTCACACACATACACTCACACATACATATACACATATTTGCATATGAGATCTTTATGTTCAAAAGATATATTATGCACTAACATATATTAAACATTATACTTGTAAACATTTCCGTATTACTACTTACAGGTCTAGTTAAAACAGTTGAAACAGGTTCCATTGCATAGTCCATCCTTAGCTTGTCAATACATTAAACTTAGTAATTTTGAATTCTTTTTCTATTTCAAATAATTTTGCATTAAACATTTTTTGATCTGTAGCATCTATACTTCTATGTAGAATAAATTTGTAAAAGTAAGATTGCTGGGTTAGAGACAAAACAGAAGGCTATATAGATAGATACATAGAGCTTATATAGATAGATTTGCATTTGATAAACATCCCAGTTTATCTTCTGTAAACCTTAAATTTTTTTCAAAAAGTTCTGCCCATTTACTGACTTTGTTTTTAAGGTAAAAATATATTTGGGTAACTCACTTTCAAAATAAGGCCATATTTTTCTTTACTTATTGCCACATTGAATTAGCAAATAAGTAGAACCTAAAAGAACAAATAATATTGAGGACAACTAGAGGCAGGTAAGGTGTTGCCGAAGGAAGCAGGCTAGCTTCCAGGACCATGCCTTTAGGATTCAGATTTTATCCCTGGTGAAAGGAGCTCTCTCTAGCTTCCTGGCTGTGGTGTCCTGAGCTGCCTTGTGCTGCCAGGATCTCCTGCCATGATGTTTTGTCTCAGTTTTGCCCAGAGCAATGGAGTCAGCCCACTGGCCCTCTGAAACAATGAGCCAAAATAAACCTTTCCTCCTCAAAATTGTTTTTGTGGGATATATTGTTCACAGCCACACAAAGCTGCCTAAAGCAGGTGAATGCAAAAAAGAATGGGCTGTACAGATTCAAGAAAGAGCTTTTAACCAAAGCATATTGTTAGCGCAGAAACCGAATCAGGAATACATAAAAAATAAAACTACAAAAATGCAGGCAACTGAACAGAAGGTCTTGAAAGGGGAGCTATCTAGTTACACAGACAAGGGGTAAGAAGGCCTGGTGCAGACGCTAGGTTAGACACGCTGGCGGGACAGAAGAGATTTTGAATGAGGACGCCCCTACATGTTAAAATTCAGTGGGGTTGTTTGTGGGGAGATGACTGTTTTTAAATTTCTTCTCTCTCTCTCTCTCTCTCTCTCTCTCTCTCTCTCTCTCT